GCCCGGCCACCTCGGGCCACCGCCGGTGGTGCCTGGAGCCCTGGCGCCGCCGACGCCCGTCGACCCGACGACCCTGATGCTGCAAAAGGGCTACAACCCGCCGCCCGGCACGTTTGACCTCTGCCCGCCCGCCGCGCGCTTCTTTGTCATCAAGTCGTACACCGAGGACGACGTGCACAAGTCGCTCAAGTACGAGATCTGGGCGAGCACGGACAAGGGCAACCAGCGCCTCGACAAGGCCTTCCGCGAGAGCGCCCACACCGGGCCCATCTACCTCTTCTTTTCCGTCAACGCCTCGGGTCACTTTTGCGGCATGGCCCAGATGCTCACCCCGCTCGACTACACCACCAGCAGCAACGTGTGGGCGCAGGACGGCAAGTGGAAGGGCACGTTCAAGGTGCGCTGGATCTACGTCAAGGACCTGCCCAACAACCAGCTCCGGCACATCCGCCTCCACAACACGCCCGAGGTCAAGCCCGTGACCCAGAGCCGCGACACCCAGGAGCTCACCCCGGACGCCGGCAGAGAGGTGCTCAGGATCATGGCCGACTACCAGGCAAAGACGAGCCTCCTCCAGGACTTTGACTTTTACGAGGTCCAGAGCCAGCAGCAGGCCGCCTTCAAGGGCCAGCCCGCCGCCAAGCCCGCACCGCACAGGGGCGGCAGCGGCAGCGGGCCCGTCATCGGCGAGCAGCAGCAGCATCAGCAGCAGCAGCAGCAGCAGCCGAGGCGCAACAACGGCGCCAGCCCTAGTCCAGCAACGCCCTCGAGGCTCGCCAAAGCCCGTCCAGAGCACTCGCCGCGCGTCGACGTCGACGTCGCCCCCGGCCTTGGCCCTTCGCCCCTGTGAGGTCGGTGTCCCTTGTTATCCTGTAACTATATCCCCCCATTTCGACGGCGGCGCGGTTGCGAATACCAGGCATTGGCGGCGACACCGGTGGCATCGTTTGCATAGCGAGCCGGCCGCCCGTCTAGTCTAGGCGATACGTGCATGGTCCGAACCTCGCTCGGTCTTCCTCGCGGCTGGCATGCCGCGCGCCACTTCTTCTTGGTCTTAGTTGAGCTCGTCGTCCTTGCCCCTCTTGGCCCGCGCCCTCGTCCTCGTCCTCGCCCTCGTTGTCGTTGGATCAAGCCCATGTGGCCTCGAACGCGCCACGGACGAGCGAGGTGATGGCCATGTCGTCGACGCAGGCAGGGTGGTGGGTTGAGAGGCAAGAGATCGACTTCGTCGAGAGTGTGGTCAAGGCCTCGGTGCCAGCGGTGCTGGAGGACGCATGCACGAGTGAGGCAAACGACTGATGTAGGGCGGCTGATGTCGATGAAGTTCAGGGAAGAGCAGGCTAGGTGGGGCGAGGCAAGGTCAAGTTTGACAACAGCGCGGCTGCAGCACGTCTCGCTGGGCTGTTGATGTGCCTGCCTGCGCACAGATGCGGCTGCTGCAGCACTGCAGCATTGCTGCAGCAGCCTCATGCACATTGCCTCACCTGGCCCTCAGTCTGCGAAGAGACTGCAGAGTCCTCCCTCTGAAGCCCCAGCTTTCCCACATGCCCCTCCATCTCTCTGTTGGCCGCTGTGAATCCTTCCATGAAGACATGAGCAATGAGCCTGTCAAGCCTTGTCATCCAGGTGGCAGAACCCCGGCCAAGCCACCAACAGATGTACCGCCAGTCGGTGGGGTCCTGTCCAACAGGCACCTGAGTGTTGTGGTCGTCGGCCGTGTCCGCGATTGAATGCTAATGCCAGGGGTTGTAGTTGCGGACCTGGTGGTCATCATCAGGGTTGAAGGATCAAGGCCTCAAACAAAAGGGGCAGAAGAAGGCCACAATCTTGGCATCGTGGCTCACCCAGAGCCGCTTTGGTGGACAGGTTGCCTGGCTCCTCAGCTTGAGTCCTGGGAGGGAGTTGTTGAGGCGGTCGATGGCCACCTCAATGGAGGTGACCCCATCCATCTTTTGTTGACAGACCTCCAAGTACAATCAGCCATCCTGCCAGTGGATGACACCATTGCCAAGCAGACCAGTGCCTTCCCTGCTCTGCCTCACTGGTCATGCTTGAGGAATCCCATCAGCTGATCTGCCTTGGCACAGCTTCAAGGTCAAGGCAGAGTAGGCAAATAAGGTCAAAGGAGCTGATGCAGCCATAAATGCATCTGGTCATTCAGACAGCATGACTCAGGAACAGAGAGTCATTCAAACAGCCAAGCTGTGCTGTTTGATGGCCTGTGAACCAAAATCACCAACAACAGCCTACCCCGGGTTCAAGACACAACTATGACTGCCACCAAGCAGCAGTGCTTGCCCCTCAACAGGATCACAGCCTGAAATAATGAGTGCCAAGCCTCCATCATCACATTTGACCAAGACATCTCACTGACCTGTCAGCCATTTGCATCTTTTCAGCCTACCGGCTCTACTTGCTGTCAGATGTCGCTGCCCACCAACTGGAGCACCACTCAGGCCCTCCACCAGAGACTCACGGTGTCGGAGTCACCCACTTGATCCATAGGGTCAGAGTCAACACACACAACACCAATCAACCCTACACCTGGCCCAAGTGCCGTGGGTTCATGCCCATCAAGTTCCTTGAAGAGGAGCAGAACCGTATCAACTGGGCACGCCTTGTCGGCTTTGTCCTTGGTGATGGCGGTGTCGTGGAGCCTACCAACCAACAGAGATATCTGGAGGTGTCGCAAGTCAAGCCGGAGGACTTGACTTACATCCGCAACCTCATCAACCGCCTCAATGTTGCTCTACCTCTCCTACGCCTCAGGCTTGAGACCCAAGAGGCAGCCAGAGAGCAACGGTGGACAAGCTGGAAAGCTGATGTGGTGGATTTCTTTTGGCCCCTTGTCTTCAGACCCAGGTCCTACGACCCTCTCGACGACCAGCATGTCCGAGAATACGATGCAAGCCACTACCACAAAATTGCTGACACCCCGGACAACATTGTCAATGCTGTGCCTAGAGCTGATGGCTTCTGTCCAGGAGACTGGGGATACCTCCGCTGCTGGCTTGGCTGAGGCTTGGCTCAGTAGATTACCTGCCTCAACACCACCATGGCACATGTGTTCCTCAAGGGCTTTACTGCTGCTGAAGGCAAAATTGCCTACCTCCAGGAGGGGTGGGGCCAACAGAACAGGCAGTACAACCAGGGCAACCCTCCTCTTTTCAATGGCTGTCACACCAACATCACCAGCAACAGCTTGGTCAATCAGGCCAGAGCATCACTACATGCCCTGACAACACATCAAACATGGCAAGGTGCTTTGATAGAGCATGCCTGTATTCACATGAATGCCTCATCTTGCAGAACCACATCTGCAACTGTTCATCCCATCCATGCTTCAAGCTGAGAGGATCACCATCTTCATGAAAGGACTCCCGACGATGTCGGGGACCAAAACAGAGCTCAACCTGAACAAACATCGCCGAGAGAAGCGGCAAAAGATTGGGTTCTGACGCGAGTCGAACGCGTGACCTCCTGCAAATGTCCCGCCTGTGAAGGATGCTTCACATGGCCCAAAGCAGACATGATTGCCACTACACTACAGAACCTCTCGATGTAAAACAAGGCGCGGAGTGTTTATATATACCATGATAAAAAAAAATATCGTAAAGAAATATAGTGTCAGCAGGGGTGGCGGCGACGCGTCCTACGGAGCCGATGCAAGCCCCTGGAAGAAAATGGAAAATGGGGCGGGGGCGCAGTCTGACCACCACCGACCATCTCCCTCGACACTCACCCACTCACCTCACCGCAACCCTTCCTCACCTCATCTCGCCCCACCTCACCACCTCACGCCGCCTCGCCCGCCTACTTTCTGACCATGGCGTCTTCTGGGGCGCCGTCGCAGTTTTCGCGGCTGCTGCGGCAGTCGCGGGTTGCCTCGTTTGACCCGACGATCCCGCAGGTGTACTCGACGCCGCCTGCGTATGCAGCGCGGGGCGACTGGGGACTGAAGCGACCGCTGCCGTCCAACACGGCGGGCTCGACCGCCTCGATGCCCGGCAGCTCGTCGAACGAAGGCTCTGGGGCGCTGCGGTACCTCGAGGTGCAGCAGATCGACACGCCCGAGGGCCAGACGACGTGGAAGGAGCGCGAACGGGAGACGCTCTTTGTCAAGCGCTGGGCCGAGGCGGATGCGCGGCTCGATGTGGAAAAGGACCAGGTGTACTCGAGCTACACGGCGGGCATGTTTGGGCCGCGACCGCAGACGCGCTACCTGACGTCGAGCGAGCGGTACCTTCCGGCCGACGTTCCGGGGCCCATCGCTGCGCCCGCCGACGAGAGCAAGGCGGACCGCGAGGCCCGACTGTTCAACAACCGGTGGCGCGCCATGCAAAAGCACCACGCCGAGCGCGGCGCGGCCGACCCGAGCTACCGCAACCTCGACTTTATGGGCGAGCAGTCGCACTCGCCGGCCTTTGGCTTCGACGCCGACAAGTTCACCACGCGCCCGCGGATGATGATCAACTACAACGCACTGAGCGACAAGCACTTTGAACGGTACATTGAGCAGGTGCGCGGCCAGCGCGGCCAGTGGAAGGCGCACTTTGGCGGCCGGGAGCGCAGCCGGCTGCTGGGCCTGATCCGCAAGCGCCAGGAGCGGGCGTACAACGCGGCGCTCGAGGTGCAGCGCGACGCCGAGAGGCGCGGCGCCACAAAGCAGCCGCTGCCCGAAATCGATCCCGAGGCGGCGCTGGCCAGGATGACGCCCGTCGAGCTCGACATGCTCGAGCAGTCGCGCGACGGCGACGCCACCCGCGACGCCTTCCGCATGCTCGAGGAGCGCACCATCGACGCCACGACGCGCCCGCAAAACGAGCGGCTGCCCGGCTCGTCGCAGCCCACGACGCTCCACCCGCACGCCGGCCTGCAGTACTCGCAGCCGGACCCCATCTTTGCCAACGTCCTCGCCGAGCCGCTGCCCGGCCGCGTCATGCACGAGGTCCAGCACAAGCAGCACGCCGGCTCGCGCGACTACAAGACGAGCAACAAGCTGCCCCTCGGACGCTCCGTCCTCGTCGGCGGCCACGTCGCCTACCTGCCCGCCCCCGTCCGCGCCCAGGCGCCCCCCACCATCGACTGGAGCCGTCAGGACCCCAAGCAGGGCACCGCCCTCTTCCGCATCGTAAAGGCCCACCGCACCTCCCAATTCGGTCTCGGCGGCGGCGCCCACCGCGACATGATCACGCTCCGCTCCGACCTCGGCTACGTCTACACCGACGTCGAGGTCGTCAAGCGCAACATTGACGCGCCGCGCACCATGACCGACGCCCCCATCGGATCGCCCGACTACATTGGCAAGTCGGCCGACGACCCCGCCAAGCCCGTCCGCCGCGCCGTCGGCAGCGGCATCGGACCCATCGACCCCGCCAGGAGGCCACACATCCCGCTCAACATCTTTTCCCCCAACGGGGAGAGGAGGAACCAGCGCAAGGGCGCCCGCCTCTCGGGCCGCCTCGCCAAGCAGGCCGCCGGCCGCGCAAAGGGCCCCGACGCCGACAGCGAGGCGCAGCTCCTCGACAGCCTCACAAAGATGGCCGACGCCGCCGCGGACCCTGCCAGCAAGCCCCCGCGCCGTTAGCCGTCGTCGCAGTCGTCGCGAGCGTCGCAGTCGATGCAGTCGTCGCGTGCGTGGCAGTTGATGCCGCCGATGTAGATAGAGCGAGATACGCCAAAATGTCATCCCAGATGTCGCCGATACGCCCAGATCGGGCCCGTCCGCCGCTCGCCCGATGCCTGAACGGCCTCCACCTGCCGATGCAGCCGGCGTGGCAGGCGTGGCCCGGCTGCTGCTGCTTCGTCGGCCCGTCTGACCCGACGGCCTCGCCTCGCGGCCACCACCACCACCGCGCCGCTGCTCGCCGCCCGCCCTCGCACGACGATGAAGAACCCCGCCCGGCTCTACAGCTATCCGCAGACCAACAAGCAGCTGATTGACCATTACAAGCTGCAGCCGCATCCGTGAGTGTCGCGGGTGCCGCCGCTCCGCTGCAGAACCACCCTGGCTGATGTTCGGTCCCCTCTTCCGCCCCCCACCCCTCGCAGCGAGGGAGGGTACTATGCATTGACCTGGGTCCAGGACGAGACGATTCCGTCGCCCTTTGCGACCGACAAGGCCGAACGCAACATCGCCTCGGTCATCTACTACCTCCTCTGCCAGCCCGGACCGTCGCTGCCCGGCCCGCCTACGTCGGGCGACGATGCCAAGCTCTTCCAGCGCTGGAACGCCGACATCGGCGTCTTCCACCTCAACAAGTCGGCGACGATGCACGTGCACCACGCCGGGAGGACGCGCTACACGCTCATCTCGGCCAAGGCTCCGCTCGGAAAGGGCCTGGTCGACGAGCGAGGTCTGCCGCTGACGCGCGTCGTCACCATGGGCGAAGACTTTGAGCGCGGCGAGGTGAGGCAGCTGCTCGTCGAGGGCGGCTGGTGGAAGGTCAGCGAGGTGCCCCCCGAAGATCGTCGGGCGGTCGAGGAGCGCAGCGCGGATCCACAGAGGGTCGGTGCGCTCATCACCGAGTGCGTGACGCCCGGTGAGTTCGCCTAGCGCGGCTTCACAACGAGGACCTCGCCACGACTGCTGACCTGCCGACCACACCCGACCAGGCTTCCACTGGGACGATCACACGTATCTCAACGTCGAGAGGCTCAAGGATCTCTTCGCCGGGCCGCATCAGGACGAGCATGTCGAAAAGTATCGTCAGTATGTCAAGGACGAGTAAACGCAGCGCGCGGTGTTCGTCTGATTGCAATGAAAGCCGAAACGCCCGCTGCCGTCGACGTATTGGGGGACGCGCGAGCCCGGCGCTCGACCGACCTGCTGCCTCACGATAAAGAGGCGACACCCGCTGCCGTCGACGTGTCGGGGGACGCGCGAGCCCGGCGCTCGACCGACCTGCTGCCTCACGACAAAGAGGCGACACCCGCTGCCGTCGACGTGTCAGGGGACGCGCGAGCCCGGCGCTCGACCGACCTACTGCCTCACGGGAAAGAGGCGGTCAAAGTTGTGGCGGTCCAGGAACCACGGCTCCTTGGCGTGCATCGCCGCCTTGGCCTTGGATTCGGCCGGTGTGAGGCCAGGCACGCCCTGCGGGACGCTCCAGTCGGTCGAGCCCTTCATCCACAGCTTGAAGCGTGCCCATCCGAGCTTGTACAGGTTCTTGACCTCGTCGGGCGACTTGGGGTGCGGCGCCGCCTCGAGCTGGTAGCCCAGGCTCGAACCCTCGCCGAGCAGGAGCGACGAGGGCACCTTTTTGTAGCCCTTGCCGTCGCCGCGCACCACGCGGCGGCCCTTGCCCAGGGCAAAGTCGGCAATCTCGGCCGCCGATGTGTTGTCGCGCCGCATGAGCGCGGCAAAGTCGTGCAGGCGCTCGCGCGAGTCGTGCGCAGACAGCGGCGCCACGTTGGCCTGCTTGTTCTGCAGCGCTCGCGGCAGCAAGGCTCGGAAGGGCGGAGCGCACGTCCGCACGCCCACCTGCGACGTCGCCGGATACAGCGTGATCCTCGTCACCAGCCTGCGGGGTGGGGGCGAAGCAGAAGAAAGGCGGAGCGAGGAGAGCGACGCGTCAGTCGACGCTAGACGCCCAGCCGGCGAGGCCCGGTCCACTCACCTCGACGGGCTCCAGAACATAAAGAAGCCCAGCATGCCGCCGGTGCCAAACACGAGGGCGCCCACCGGATAGCGCGTCCACGCCGAGACGAGCTTGGGCGGGTTATTCTCGTAGTCGCGCGAGAACCAAGGCCACGCCATGTGCTGCGAGAGGATGTAACCTTGGTACGCGCTGCGGGGGCGTGGGGCAAAGCGGGCAACCGCAGACGGGAGGTCAGCCGCTGCTGCTCGCGACGGTCCGCAGTGCAGTCGGGCTTGGACTCACGATGCACCCGTAAAGACGCAGCCGATAAAGTAGTACAGCCAGCGCTTCATGCCGGGCGGCGCCCGGAAGATGACAATCGGCCTGGCACCCGGCAATGGCGGGAGCTGCGATGACCCGGCGGATGCGGATGCGGAAGACGTGGATCCCGGTTGGCCGGAGGACGGCACCTTGGGCGTCGCTGCAGCAGCGTCGGCGGCCGGCCTAATTGGCCTTGCGTCTGGCGGTCGCACTCCTGTCGCGGTCGATGTCGCAGGCGGCGCCTTGGCCTTGGCCTTGGCCTTCTTCCGTGGCACGGCGGAGGTGGCCTTGGTACGCACGTGCGTCCGCAGCGGGGCAAGTCGGTACATCGAAGTCGACCAGGCAAGCCGCGGAGCGTGCACGAGGGAGAGCGGGGTCGTCATCCTGCGACTTCGTGGGCAGTAGGAGAGCAGCGAGGAGGGATGGTGGTGGTGACAGCCCGTCCAGCCTCTTACCTCACAGACAGCGGGAAGATTCCCCCCGGCCCCCTTTCCCCGGTCCCAAAAAAGGGGTGCCGACTCCCGAAAAAATAAAACAAGAACTAATTCCCGCAAAAATGGCGCGTGCTTGCTGCCACCCCAACCCCTCACCACTCCTCGACCTCGACCTCAACCGCCTTTCGCGACGCTAAAAAGACACTCTCTCGTCATCGAAATCAAGAGCAAAAAGTAATGACCCCAACCCGATTTGAACGGATGACCTTCGGAAGAATCCTTGTCTGTTCAGGTGAACATTCACCTGCGTCTGCACTGGAAGCCGACGCGCTGCCATCTGCGCCATAGGGCCGCTTGTTGTCAGGAATGCAGAAGATTTCTATTATATACCTTAATTCTGTTCCGCTGAGGGATGAAGTTGTTGGGGGAGGGCCGTGTCGAGCTGGTCGAGGGTGAGACAGATGCACTGGATGCCATCCTCCTTGGTCCTCACTGCCCAGATGTATGAGCTCCTCCCAGCTGATGGTATGGTGCTGCACTGGTCAAGGTGGACAACAAGAGTCCTCTGGCCTGCTCAAAGTCAAGAAATCAGCTGAAGCTGCACTGCACTGGCCATCAACATTAGGGAAGCATGAGGTAGGCTGTATCATAGCAGCTAGGGATGTCTTGGTGTTGCAGGTGACATTCAGGCACAGTTGAGCTCTGTCAGCAAGACACAGCATGCTTGCTGCTGCAGGCCAGGAGCCAAGCAGGTGCTGGAAGCTGCCAGCTGACTTATACATGAGGACAACAGTCACTGAACCAGTCCCCTGGTGCAAGCCTGAGGCGTAGGAGAGGTAGAGCAACATTGAGGCGGTTGATGAGGTTGCGGATGTAAGTCAAGTCCTCCGGCTTGACTTGCGACACCTCCAGATATCTCTGTTGGTTGGTAGGCTCCACGACACCGCCATCACCAAGGACAAAGCCGACAAGGCGTGCCCAGTTGATACGGTTCTGCTCCTCTTCAAGGAACTTGATGGGCATGAACCCACGGCACTTGGGCCAGGTGTAGGGTTGATTGGTGTTGTGTGTGTTGACTCTGACCCTATGGATCAAGTGGGTGACTCCGACACCGTGAGTCTCTGGTGGAGGGCCTGAGTGGTGCTCCAGTTGGTGGGCAGCGACATCTGACAGCAAGTAGAGCCGGTAGGCTGAAAAGATGCAAATGGCTGACAGGTCAGTGAGATGTCTTGGTCAAATGTGATGATGGAGGCTTGGCACTCATTATTTCAGGCTGTGATCCTGTTGAGGGGCAAGCACTGCTGCTTGGTGGCAGTCATAGTTGTGTCTTGAACCCGGGGTAGGCTGTTGTTGGTTGGCTCACAGGCCTTCAAACAACACAGCCTGGCTGTTTGACATCTGCTACCATGAACACCTCTCCCTGAGTCATGCATGCTGTCTCATGATCAGATGCATCAGCCCCCTTGACCTTAGTTGCCTGCTTTGCCTTGAACATGAAGATGTGCCAAGGCAGATCAGCTGATGAAATTCCTCAAGCATGACCAGTGAAGCAGAGAAGGGCAGGCATTGGTCTGCTTCAGCATGATGTAGAGTTCTCAAAGACTCTGCAGATCAACAAGAACAGCCGGCTTGTGCTTCTGCAATGCCCATCAAGGCATCATCAGCAGGCCAATTTTTTGATAGGGCTGCTGCAGCCACTCTGCAGGTCGAACGAGCTCGCCCTTCCAGCCTCCACCCGCGGGGGTGCCTGACTCGGCACGCTTGATTTTTCCTTGCCTTGCTTGCTCGGCGACGGGGCAGGCAGCCTTTACGCCACCACCATCCTCGATCCCCCTCCCCTCCCTCGGCGCTTGGACCCGCGGACGACCGCCGACGACCGCGCACGCCTTTTGGACATGTCGAGCATCACGCAACAGACGTACGCCTCTCGTGCGGCGAGGCAGCCGAACGCTGCTGCGCGGCAGCTGCTCGAGTGCATCGAGCGCAAGCAGTCGAACCTGTGCGTCAGCGTCGATGTGACCAACAAGCGCGACCTGCTCGACGTGTGCGACGCCGTCGGTCCGGACGTGTGCCTGATCAAGGTGGGTGAGGATGGTCGGCGGGTGTAGGCGTGGAGCCGGCACTGACGGCGGCGGCCGCCCCTCTTGCCCCTCGCTCTGTGCAGACCCACATCGACATTGTCTCGGACTTTGACATGGACCTCGTCGAACAGCTGACGGCGCTGAGCAAGAAGCACGACTTTCTCATCTTCGAGGACCGCAAGTTTGCCGACATCGGTAGGTCGCTCGCCTGCCGATCGAGCCGCTCCCGTTGGCCACGTGCTGACCTGCCCGCGTCCTTTCAATCGGCCGGCCCCCACTTGTCTCGCCGCCAGGCAACACGGTGTCGCTGCAGTACTCGTCGGGCGTGCACCGGATCGCGTCGTGGTCGCACATCACCAACGCGCACCTGGTGCCCGGGCCGGGCATCATCACGGGCCTGGCGTCTGTGGGCCAGCCGCTGGGGCGCGGCTGCCTGCTGCTGGCCGAGATGAGCAGCGCCGGCGCGCTGACCAAGGGCTCGTACACACAGGCGTGCGTCGAGGCGGCCAAGAACGACACGACGGGCTTCGTGTGCGGCTTCATCGCCATGTCGCGCGTCGACGAGGCCGACGGCCAGCCCAACACGGCCAAGGACCTCGTCATCCTCACGCCGGGCGTCGGCCTCGACGTCAAGGGCGACGCCATGGGCCAGCAGTACCGCACGCCCGACCAGGTCATCCGCGAGAGCGGCTGCGACGTCATCATCGTCGGCCGCGGCGTCTACGGCTCGCTCATGACGCCCGAGGGCAAGCAGGACAAGCAGGCGGCCATCGCAAAGGTCCGCGAGCAGGGCCGGCGGTACAAGCAGGCCGGCTGGAACGCCTACCTCGCCCGCCTGCCCGGTTCTTTGTCGTCTTCGAGTGCGTAGGCGGCGGTCCCCCGCGTGCTCCAACCGCCCCACCTGCCCCATTGTATAGCTCTTGCCCTCTGGTCCCGACTCGAACGTAGAATCGGTGCGAGGACAAAGCGCATGGCTGTGACTGGACGTTGCGCTGATGCGTGGCCCGCCTCCTGTCCTTTTCATGACTCCGCAGGCACGGTGCGCGAGGCGATGGCAGGCAAGAGAAAGGACGTCGAGGGCCAGCGCGATGCGCCACGTCGCTCCGTGCGCCGCAAGCTGTTTGCGCCCGAGCCGCCGGCCACCGTCGATGGCCCGTCCCAGGGTGACCTCAGCCAGGATCAAGCCTTGGCCGCCCAGCTGGCAGCCGAGGACGGCGCGCGCTACTCGTTGCGCCGACGCACCACCCTCGACGCGGGCCCGAGTCGCAGGGCGGCCACCCGTTCCACGGCGGCGGCGGTCGAGGCTGCATCGCCTGCATCGTCCGACTCTGGGTCAGAGGACGACTACGTCGACCCCGCCGCCACCACGGCGCCCCTCTCCTCGCCGCGCTGCAAGTCGCGCAGCCCGACAAAGTCCGCCCCGCCGTCCAAGGGCACCGCCTCACCGTCCAAGGGCAAGTCCAGGGCCGCCTCGACCGCCTCGACCGCATCGCCGTCCAAGGGCAAGGCCAAGGCGACCCCGACCGCCTCGCCCTTTGACATCTCTCCGCGCAAAAAGGCGAAACCGATCAAGATCGACCTGTCGGACTCGGAAGCGCATCCTGCTCCGCCGCGCTGGCAGGAGACGTACGCGCTGCTGGCCAAACAGCGCAGCCGCATCGTCGCGCCCGTCGACACGATGGGGTGCGAGGAGAACGGCAGAGAGGACCGCCGCGCCGATACGTGGCGCGAGCGGGAGAGCGACGAGGACGAAGCCAAGCGGAAGCGGCTCGCGACCCTCGTCAGCCTCATGCTCAGCAGTCAGACCAAGGACCCCGTCAGTGAGTGTAGTGTCCCTTGTGCGGCCGTGTCGCCTTGACATGTGTGGCGCTGACCTTGCTCGCCCACGCCGGCTGCTCGCAGCCGCCGAGGCCGTGTACAACCTGCAACGCACGCTGCCGGGCGGGCTGACGCTGTCGTCGCTGCTGGCCGCGTCCGACGAGACCATCTCCGGGTGCATCGCCAAGGTGGGCTTCTGGCGGCGCAAGACGGGCTACCTCAAGTCGGCCGCGCGCATCCTCACAGACGACTTTGGCGGCGACGTCCCGACCGACATCGACCAGCTCCTCACCCTTCCCGGCGTCGGGCCCAAGATGGCCTTTCTCGCCCTCAGCTCCATGGGCATCCAGATCGGCATCGGCGTCGACACGCACGTGCATCGCCTCACCAACCGGCTCGGATGGCACAAGACTTCGACGCCCGAGCAGACCAGGCTGAACCTGCAGAGCTGGCTGCCAAAGGAGGTGCGTGTGTGCTGGGGGCCCTGCCTGGCGGGCCCGGCTCGATCCGTGCTCGTCGATGCTGACCCTACCTTGACCCTGCCTCGACAGCTGCACCCCAAGATCAACAAGCTCCTCGTCGGCTTCGGGCAGGTGATCTGCGTCCCCGTCGGACCGCGGTGCGACCTGTGCAATGTCGGCAAGGCCGGCCTGTGTCCCTCGTACCGACCCGTCGACGCCAAGTCGGCCCTCAAGCGCGTCAAGGTCGACCTCCTCGCATCCGACGATGAGTCAACACAGCGCGGCGAAGGCGACGACAACTGGGCCCTGCCCGCATCGCTGGCAGTCAAGGGCGAGGACGTCGAGACCGAGGCCGAGGCCAAAGTCAAGGTCGAGCTCGAACCGAACGGCGCAGACGTCTTCCACGGCATCGGGACCGCGGCAGCCGCGGCAGCGCTCAAGACGGAGCCCGAGCAGCCGCAGCCGGACGAGGTCAAGCTGGAACAGGACGAGGTCGAGAGGGCTCTGGAATGGTGATGCTGCGGCCGTGATTGTGGTAAAAATACAGGATGCGGTCGGGACGGGGGAGCCTGCGCGGGCTCAGGTGGTACAAGTGACGGCGACGGGCCCGGATCGGACAGGACGGCTCAGTCCTGCTTTTCGGCGCCCTGGAAGTGCTTCCACGCCTTGAGGTCGACGTCACGGAAGTCGGTGATGGACGGGTGGGCCAGCTGACGTAGCAGCTTGAGCACCGCCTGCAGCTCTGTATCGAATCTGGGCGCGTCTCTGAGGACGGCGGGGTGACGGGCGGGCGTAAAGGTGCGTCAGCGGCCGTCCGCTCTCGGCGCTTCGGGTGCGCGCGCCGCCACTCACTTGTATGCTCGGACTGTGCGCGAGTGCCGGATCGCAGCGCAGAGGACGGACGACGGGGCGTGGTGAGCAAGCGACGGCGGACACTGTGCCGCAGCGGGCCTCCGCGCCGCGCGACTCACTCTTGCAAATGTTCTTCGGGTTGATGGCGCCGTTCCTCGACAGGTCGTCGACGTGGATGGTGTTGTGCGGGCCGTAGAGGTCGGGCCACCTCCTCCAGATGAGCTCGAGCGGCTTGACCTCGTGCTTCTTGCCGCCGGGCGCCGTGATGGAAAACATGGGGGTGCGGTCGAGGACAAACGAGATGTTGAACTGGTCGTGGCCGATCATGCCGAGCTCGATGAGCTTGACCTCGAGCCAACGCCACGACGTCTGGGACCACACGCAGATGTCGTAGTCGCGGTAGGCGGCGGCGAGAAAGTCGTGCAGGCCGGGTCGGGCCGCCACCGAGGCCGGGCTGGCCGGGTCGAGGAGGCGCTTGGTGTCGGCGATGGTGTAGTCGAGGTCGAGCACCAGGAGCCGCTTGCCCGCGCGCGGCTCGTTCATGACGGAAAAGTTCGAGAAGCGGGCAATGACCTTCTCCAGCTTGCGCAGGTTCTGTTCGGGGTCAAAGGTGGCGGCCTTCGTCAGCACTCGGGCCCCGCATTCGCCCATGCGCAGCGCACGTCGGCCCTCCTTACCTTCGGATCCTGGTCCGGCGGTACAGCCGTCTTGACGGCCTCCTGCTGCTGGGCATAGTCGATGTCGCCAGCCAGGCGATCCTCGAGGTCCTGAACGACGATCAAGGCAGAGGAGGCACGCATTCAGTGGGCGCCAGGTCGCGTCGCTCGCCATGCGGCTTGGCAGCGGTCTCACCTCTGCAAACTTGATCGTGCCCGAGGGATCCTGGAAGCGGTCCGCTTCCGGGGTGCCGAGCAGCATAAACGACACCTGCACCTTGTCCGTCGCAGCAGGCCCGGCAGGCTCCTGCGGCTGGCCTGGCGCATTCTGCGGCCTCGGCTTGAGGGCCGACGGCGCGAACGGGATCGATCCGACGAGGGTGTCGTCCGACGGCGGCTTGCCTCGGGTGATGCCGAGCAGCTTCTGGCTGGCGGGCGGCACATCCGTGAGCGAGTAGAGGATGGCCTTGAGGTCCGCCACGCAGTCGTCCTCGCCCAGCCGCACCGACAGCATCGAGCCCGAGTACTTGACGGCAAACGAGACGTATGCAAGTGAGTCGTCCGGCTGCGACGACGAGGCGGCGCCAGCGGGCCCGGAACCGCCGCCCTCGATGACGGCCAGCGCCGGCTCGGGGGCCGGATCAGCCGTGTCCATGATGGCGAGGTCGGAACGCAGTGCCAGAAAGCGGTGGTCGCTTGCTTGGACCCGATGTCGAGAGAGGGCAGCAGAGTTGCTCGGGAGTGGCGAGCAAAAGGTGAAGAGGAAAGAGGAGAGAGAGGGATGTCCAGCTCGCAGCAGCTAGGTAGGGGATGGCCTGCCCGCGGCGAGCCAGCCAGCGGAGAGAAATGAAGGTGGTGCGTGCGGCGCGGGCAGGGTTGTGTTGGTCTTTCTGTGCGCGCGCTCCAGCCGTGGCCAAGCCTGCCCCCTGCCTGGCCAGGCCAGCCAACCCACCGCGATCCAAAAATCGGGCCGAGCGGCGGAAGCGAAACAGAGGCCGGCCAGCGGGCCAAGGAGGGGGCGGGCCTCTGGCCTGAAACACGCACAGATGTCGCACCAGGCAGGCAGGCAGGGCGGCCAGGAGGCAGGCCAGGCCAGGCCAGGCCAGGCCAGCTGGGCTGGGCAGAGGCCAGGGAGAGCAACACCTGCCTGCCTGCCTGCGTGCCTTGGCCAATCTGGCCTGCCGCGCTGCTCGCCGTGCCGCCAGCGACCTCTCTGCGACCACCATCGACCGCGATCAACGACCGCCACGCCTCGTCCCCTGGCCTCACTCGCTCACCCTCTCTCTCTTGCCGTCCTTGCACCGCCACCGCCGCCGCCCCTCTCGGTATCGGCGCCTCCTGTCCGGCCGCCAACGCGCGCTGCTTCACCTTCTTTCTTTCCCTCCCGCTCTTTGGCCGACCCTCTTTTCGCAGCGCATCGGCCCGCCTCCGCAACGACCCTCCTTGATTCCGCCTTGCTCCCCTGTTGCGGCATAGACCGCGCCCTGCTCGCTCGCCGCTAGAACAGGCCGGGCATCACCTCTCGGTTTCCGCTTCTCGCCGCTCGACCTCGTCCGGGCCGGATCGACCGCAGCGGAAAGGCCTACGCTGCCGCTCGCCAGCGCGACCTCCGACTGACTGAACCTTTGTGGCGACCCCAACCCGTCCGTCTCTGCCGCCGTCACCGTCACCGCCGCCGCCGTCGCCCACCATGTCGAGCAACATCAAGGTCGTCTCTCGCTTCCGCCCGCCGAACGCGCTCGAGCTGCGCGAGGGTGGCGACATCGTCGTCGACTTTTCCGACGATGGCACCCTGGTCAAGATGACCAAGGGCGCCGGCACGTCGGGCCCCGAGGCCAACGGCTTCGTCTTCGACCGCGTCTTTCCCATGGGCACGCAGCAGCGCGACGTCTTCGAGTTCGGCATCAAGGAGACGGTCGACGACGTCCTCAACGGCTACAACGGCACCATCTTCGCCTACGGCCAGACCGGCTCCGGCAAGACGTTCACCATGATGGGATCCGACATCGACAACGACGAGCTCAAGGGCATCATCCCGCGCATCACTGAGCAGATTTTCGAAAACATCATGGCCAGCCCGCCCCACCTCGAGTACCTGGTCAAGGTGTCGTATATGGAAATCTACATGGAAAAGATCCGCGACCTGCTGGCGCCGCAGAACGACAACCTGCAGGTGCACGAGGAGAAGAACAAGGGCGTCTACGTAAAGGGCCTCTCGGACTACTACGTCGGCGGGCAGGCCGACGTCTACGAGATCATGCGCCAGGGTGGCTCGGCCCGCGTCGTCTCGTCGACCAACATGAACGCCGAGTCGTCGCGGTCACACTCCATCTTCCTCATCTCGATCCAGCAGCGCAACACCGAGACTGGCAGCCAGAAGACGGGCAACCTCTACCTCGTCGACCTCGCCGGTTCCGAAAAGGTCGGCAAGACAGGCGCCAGCGGCCAGACGCTCGAGGAGGCCAAGAAGATTAACAAGAGCCTGAGCGCGCTCGGCATGGTCATCAACTCGCTGACCGACGGCAAGGTGGGTGGCTGCCCGGCCGTCGTTCCACGGACGCGCGTGTGGCCATGACCCGACTGACCCCTTTGCCTCCATTCCTCGCCTCTCCGGTGGCTCCTGTCCGACCTTTGCAGTCCTCGCACATCCCCTACCGGGACTCGAAGCTGACGCGCATCCTGCAGGAGTCGCTCGGCGGCAACTCGCGGACGACGCTCATCATCAACTGCTCGCCGTGCATCTTCAACGCCGAGGAGACGCTGTCGACGCTGCGGTTCGGCGTGCGCGCCAAGTCGATCAAGAACAAGGCGCGTGTCAATGCCGAGCTGTCGCCGGCCGAGCTCAAGGCGCTGCTCAAGAAGGCCAAGGCCGACGCCGACCGCTCGCAGCAGTACATTGCCAACCTCGAGGCCGAGCTCAAAGTGTGGCGCAGCGGCGGCAAGGTGCCCGAGCCCGAATGGGCCGACGCCAGCAAGGTCATCGTGGGCGAGGGGGCCTCGTTGGCGCCGGCGGCGTCGCAGGTCGCGCAGAACGGCGCCTCGAGGCCGATGACGCCGGCGGTCGAGGGCCTGCGCGAGATCTCGTCGAGGCCCGACACGCCTTCGGCCGTGACGCTGGACAAGGACGAGCGCGACGAGTTCCTGCGCCGCGAAAACGAGCTCAACGACCAGATCGCCGAAAAGGAGGTGCTGCTGCAGGACGTGCAGAAGCAGCACCGCGAGGCGTCGCTCGAGCTCGCCGCGTGCAAGGAGTCCGAGGCCGCGCTGTCGGCGGAGAACAAGTCGCTCACCTCGAAGCTGACCGAGACCGAGCTCCAGCTCGGCAAGGTCAACTTCCAGCTCAAGGAGGTCACGATCACCATCGACTCGCTCAAGGAGTCGAACCACGACCTGTCCCAGGAGATCGAGGAGCTCAAGAAGTCGACGAGCGAGGGCAAGGGCGGCGCCGCCAAGGACCCCTCGCAGGAGGGCAAGGAGCGCAAGAAGGCCGAAAAGATGGCCAAGATGATGGCCGACTTCAACGCCGGCATCGTCTCGGAAAAGGAGGAGCAGATCCGCGAGACGCTCAGCAAGCTCGAAAACGCCGGCAGCCTCGGCGGCGCCGGCGCCGGTGGCGAGGGGGCCGTTGGCCTGTCTGCCGACGACCTCTCGACGCTGCGCGAGCAGCTCCTCGAGAGCCAGACGCTCGTCCGCGAGCAGCAGGGCCGCGTGCGCCGGGCGCAGGAGGAGAACGAGCTGCTGCTCAAGCGGCGCGACGAGGTCGAGATGCGCCTCGCCGCGCTCGAGGCCGAGTACGACGAGCTGCTGGAGAAGACGTTCAAGGACGAGGAATCGTCGCACGTCGACCACCACCACCTCGACGAGACGATCCAGGACGTCAAGGCAAAGCTCGAGGCGCAGTACGCGTCGAAGCGCGAGGCGCAGGCGAGCGAGATCGCCGACCTCAAGCTGCAGATCGAGCTCAAGGGCAAGGAGACGGCCGAGCTGCTGGCGACCAACGACAACCTCAAGAGCACCAACGAGGAGCTCAAGCGCGCGTTTGCCGTCACCGCCGCCGGCGTCGAGGGGGGAAAGAACCTCGCCGAGTCGGCGCGCGAGATGGAGCGCGTCCGCAAGACGATGGCGACCCAGCTGGCCGAGTTCGACATCATGAAAAAGAGCCTGATGCGCGACCTGCAGAACCGGTGCGAGAAAGTCGTCGAGCTCGAGATCTCGCTCGACGAGAGCAAGGAGCAGTACAACAACGTCCTCCGCAGCAGCAACTCCAAGGCGCAGCAAAAGAAGATGGCGTTCCTCGAGCGCAACCTCGAGCAGCTCACCAACGTCCAGAAGCAGCTCGTCGAGCAAAATTCGAGCCTCAAGAAGGAGGTCGCCATCGCCGAGCGCAAGCTGTCGGCCAGGAACGAGCGGATCCAGGCACTCGAGCACCACCTCATGGAGAGCCAGGAGAAGCTGGCGCTCCAGAACCGCAAGTTCGACGAGCAGCTCCAGGCCGTCAAGGAGCGCCTCAACCAGGCGCGCGAGATGCGGCCCAACATGATGGCCGGCGGCGGCGGCGCGCTCAGCTTCGGCCGCATCGCCAAGCCCCTCCGCGGCGGCGGCCCCACCACGGGCCCGCAGCCCGGACCCGTGGCCGCCAGGCACCCGGGCATCGTCGGCGCCCACCAGGCCGACACCAACTCGCCAAAGGCGCGCAGCTCGTGGTTCTTTTCGTCCAAGTCCAAGATGGACTCGTAGCCAGCTCCCTCTGCCCGTCCGTCGACCGAGTCGATCCATGCATGCATGCCAGTTCTCACCCACATACCCGCGGCGGGAACAGGTCCCCGCCCCTCGTCCCCTTCAGCTTCCACCCGCTTCGCTTCCCCCGCCCCTCGCAGCCATCTCTCTGTGTCCGCCAAGATCGGAACCTGTACATCTTCTGCGGTCTGCCGCATCGATGCGAGCGGCGTCCGGGCAATCACGTTAGACGATCGCATCGTGGCGAGCGGCACCTGTTCCGTTCGTGTGTTGGGTGGCTGTGCTGCAGAGAGGATTCCTTCTGCCAGATCGGGCGCGCTCGGAAGCGGACGCGTGCGGCCGGATCCGCTCGACTTGTGCCGAGGTGGAGAGGGTCCGCCCGCCGTCCGACGCTTTGACAATCTTGAATCTTCTGGCACCTGCCCGGCCCTGCCTCTCGTCGCTTCCTTACCTCCGCTTGCCTGCCTTGCCCCTCGCTCGCCTTCCCACCCACGCATCTCTCGCCATCATGCTCGCTCATCGTTTTGGCTTCCGTGCGGCTCGGCAAGCTGCCGTCGTGCCCGCTCTAGGTGCCAGCAGGTCGTTTGGAGGTGAGTGGCATTGCCTCGGTCTGCTGCGCCGGTGCATGGGTTGATGCCTTACCTGACATCGTCGCCGGTCCTGCCCTTGTCGATACAGCCTCGGCCTGTAGGCGGGACGCTACCGGTGCGCCAAAGAATGACGGCGATGCTGCGCTGCTGGCGAGCATCAAGGCTGGGCTCAAGGACGCCATGCGATCCAAGGACAGCGTCACATCCACCGTCCTGCGGGTGAGCACCCTCTCTTCGTTCCTTCGTTCGCTTCCCTCGCATGTCACCCGATCGCTCGCTGACGGCTTCACCTTCCGAGCTCCTCCGCTCCGCCGCCTCGCAGTCTGTGCTGTCCGACCACCAGTACACGACCCTCTCGACGTCGCCCACCTCGCTCTCGTCCATCCTCCAAAAGGGAATCTCGAAGCGCACCGAGGCAGCGACCCAATTCCGATCCGCCAGCCGCGCCGACCTGGCAGAGCAGGAGGAGCGCGAGGCCGAGATCCTCGCCAAGTTCCTGCCCCAGCAGCTCTCGCTCGACGAGGTCGAGGCCGCCGTCCGCACCGCCCTCGACAAGCTCAAGCACGAGGGCAAAGTCGACCTTGCCAACGCCAAAAAGGCCCTGGGCTCCCTCATCAAGGAGACAAACGCCAGCGTCGACAAGAGCCGCACCAGCGGAAAGGTCGTCAGCGAGGTCTGCTCAAAGGTCCTCGCCTCGTTGTAGCATCAGCAGCAGCAGCAGTGAGATGGGCCCAAAGGCACGCATCGTCGTCTCGTTGTCGCCCGGCCGTGCTCTCCTTCCTAACCAGCGGGGCTGGCCGATTACGGCTGCTAGTGCCTTCGCCCTCGAGGAGCGCACAGACGCACAGCCACGCACGGCGCGCCCGTCTAGATGGGTTTGGAGTGTTTCTTTTCGTGGTCATGCATGTGCGGGCACGCCCAGGCCGGGCTTCGCCTCCACCCGTCGATGGTTCGGGGAGAGGGGGGACAATGTTACATGGTGTGTGTGTGTGTGTGCGTGCGTGTAGAAGCGCGAGGAGGGAGGGGGGCAGCGAGGCGCCTTTTGAGGATGCAGGCCGGAAAGCGGTTTACTGCTGGGCGGACCAGACGTTGCGGAGGACTTCGAGTTCGCAGGAAGTGGCAAGGGGTTCAGATAGGCGATGGATGGTCAGCGTCGAGTGGCGTGAAGGAGCGAGAAACCAAGCGAGCGGCGAGAGAGACGCCCGCCGTGTACCGCAGCAGCGCCCAGCCAGATCATCCGCCCCGCCAAGCAGCCAGCCAAGCAGCAACCACCGGAAACAAAAGGTAGCGGTGGTTGGGATGTCGCAACGGTCTGACTCTCAAGAGGTCCATATGCGTGCCCCCCGCCCGGGCGAACCCGGGTAAGGGACGACGGGGACTCGCGAGATCTTATATCGTTGGCAAGACTTCAGTCTTCGCTCCAAGTCGAAAACGAAGTTTCGGAATCCTGCGAAATGATTTGGAGACATCAAATGCAGACTGTCGGGAGCGGTCGCGCGCGGTCGAGGGCGTGCGTCGCGAGCGTGTAGGGGTATCGGCGCAGGGTGGAAGGCGGTGGAGAGGGGACGAGCGGGTCGGGCTGATTCGCTGGCTGGCTGGCTGGCAGTGGCGATTCCTCCAAACGGGCCATCCTGCTGGCCATCCTCCTGACATGCATCTGCTTCTCTCTCGGCCGGTCTCTCGCCTTCTCGTCGCGCTACGGCAATCGCGGGGATACTCACGACCCTCCTTCTGCGCGAGCCTGTTGATCGAGTCGTCGCTCTCAGCCGAAGCGCGGACGAAGCCACCGAGGGGGAAGACGATCGACTTGCCGGGGATGGCGCGGCCGTTGTCGTCGACCTCAGCGACGGCGATCTGGACCGAAGCGTGGTCCTTGGCCTCAATGATGCGGCCAGTGGCAGCGCACTTGCGCGGCACGTAAAGGTCGACGAGGTCTCCCTGTGAAGTTCGAAGTCAAGGTTCGCAGTAGGCAGTAGCGACGAGACGTCAGCGATCGCCCCAAAGAATGGCATGGTCGTCGTGTCGAAGATCCGCAGCACTCTGCGAAAAAGGCAGAACCGAGGAGCGAGGGGGCGGCTGGTGTGTCGAGGTCGTTTTCGCGGTCGATGTCGCTGTTGGTGTCGGCGCAAGGGGCGCAATGAGTGTAATCGCAGGCGACGGTCGATATCGACGTAAACTCCATGCCCCTCGAGCCGCCGAGCGTGATTCGTGTCGTCACCACGCTGATCAGCGGTCCGCAGCGAAAGAGGAGGTGTAGATCTGCCAGCCGCAACCATCGCCTCCTTCCCTAGACCTCCAACGTCGATCTGCGCATAGTCGGCACAATAGGAGCTGGCCACTGGTGGAGCAGATGCCGCTTGTGGGCGGCCAAGATTGCAAGGGCAGCGATCATCCTGGCGACTGTTCTGCAGGCTGTTCAAAGTCGGTTTTCACCTCGGTGCCACGCAGCGTGGTGTCGGTCGCCATGAGCGGCGCTCGAACAAACGTCGCAGGTGGCGCTACAGGTATCGTTATGTCGCTGTCGCTGTCGAGCCGGCTGTCGCGCCGCCTGTTGGTCCGGTTCGTTCCGAAGAGGGCGCTCCCCTCGGTTCCTCGGTTTCGCAGGTGGTCGTTGCAGCGCTGTTGTGCTCATGCCGTCGAGACACTTACGCGGTCGTTCTCCATGGCTGATGATGTCTGGGTGTGATGTGGGAAGGATACGGGATAGAGGTAGGTGTTCGGCAGTGGTGTGATGAGCCTGAGCCAGCCGACTGATCGCGAGCGGGCGGCCCAGCCAGCGGGGCGCCCGTGTCGGCCCACTTGCCCGTCCATGTGCCCGTGTGCCCCAGCCAAGGCCCCAGGTCTTCGCAGGTCGGGCCCTGACCTGCCCTCGGCTTTGCTTTGTCAGCAGCCTTTCGAAAAATTCTCACCGTCGCAATCTCAATTTTGCAGCTGCAATTTCCGGAGCCGAAGGTTTTGACAGCCGGCCGAGAAAAGTCAAACTGCGCCACTGGCCAGCCGGCCATGTCCGACAAGGTGGCCGCGCCTGTCAGGGTTGGCCACAGCTCGGATCCGCAAGGCTGATGGGTCCCCCGAAAGCGCGAACCCAGGATCGGGCTGTCAGAATGCTGGCGATGCAATCGGGAGGTCATCCGTCCAAGATGGCAGGGAAATCGGGCTGTCATTCGGGCTGTCACATCCCTCGGACCCGCTTTCGACGCGCGGCCGGGCTGTGGGGGCACATGGCAGGGTCCGGATCGCAGGCGCAAGCGGAGCACCCACCTCCGTGGCACGCAACCACGCCCGCTCCCCTCTCGGCCTTGGCCGAACCAGCATGGCGGTGCCCCACCAGTCACGGGCGCGGTCCGATCCGATGCCCCTCGATCGTCGCATGTTCGCTCAGCAGTCGAGCTGACCCTTGAGCGAACAGCCCCACTGGGGGATTGAGGTGGCTGCACCCGTTTGAGAGTAGAGTGCTCCGCAGGGTGCTCGGGACAGGGCCAAACGAAGCCGGAGAAGCCGAGTGGAGGTCGTTGCTTGCGTGGCCCCTGCTCCGGCAGCGACTCGGGTGCCTCCGGCGGGACCTCCGACGGGACCTCCGATCCCTGGTCGGCCCTGCCGTCACCCAGACCACCACCGCCACCACCACCACCATCGCAGCAACAGACGCCGGCCGTTATCGCATCCGTCGCATGCACAGGCGGGCCCCGCCAGCGAAACATCAACCATGGCAGATCGCGACGAGGAACGACAGCCGCTCTTGGCCCAGCAGCGACGACCCGAGGTCGATGGCGCCCACGCCGCACCATGGCACCGGCGCCTCGCTCGCTCCTGGCCCATCATCCGCGTCCTGGTCTTTGCCACCTTCTACGGCATCGCTTTCTACTCGGGAACCCCCACGCTACTGGATCAGACCCGCGCCTTCACCTGCGCTTTCCACTACGAGCGCCACCCCGAGCTCTGGCCATTGAGCCCCGGCTCCGCCTTGCCCCTCGACTCGGACCATCCTTGCGCGGTACCAGGCGTGGAGGCCAAGTTCGGCGTCGTCAATGCCATCTCCAGCTTCGCAAGCATGGGGCTCTCGTCGATCAGCATGCTCTTCTACGGTCCCCGTCTGTCGACTTGGGGCAGGAAGCCACTGATCACCCTCGCCACCTTCAGCTGCATGTTCGGCCTGCTGCCCTACATCCTCTTGCCCCTCGGCTACCCTTACGGCCCGCTGCCGGACAGCGTCGCCGTCAGCCCGACCGTCTCCCTGGGCCTCGTCCTCCTCGCATCCTGCCTGCAAGGTCTGATGGGCGACACCGCCTTGGTCTACCTCGTCATGAACGCGCTCGCCGTCGACGCGTCAAGGCCAGAGACGCGCAGCATCTACCTCAGCTGGATCCTGACCGCCACCCTCATCGGCTGCTTTGTCGGGCCGACGCTTGCCGCGTGGGTCATTCAGCGGTCCAGGCGCATCAAGGCGGTCTCGACAGCCCTGATGCAAGCGGCGGTCACGGCGTACCGCTGGGTTGAGCATCCAAAGCACGGCAACGACCACGGTTCCGTTCCCGGCCACGGCATTGACACGGGAGATCGACCGGTCTTCGGTGCGCCCAGCGATGGCGACACTGGGCACGGCGTGCCTCGCATCCCCGCACCGCCAGGGCCTCCAGGGGTACCCCCTCAGCAGCCCCCGAGTTCGCTACACGGCAACACGGCGGCGCTGCGGTCAGCTCTGCTCCTGTACGCGATCGCTCTGCTCTGGGTCATCTTCGTCATCCCCGAGACGGTCAAGAGGGGTGGGGATGCCAAGAACACAGCCTCCCGGACCGGTGCCGCTGCCGCCGCGCAGGAGCCTTCGGCGGCAGCTGAATCCGTGCCGCCGTCCCAGCCGTCCGAGGTTGGGCTGGCGACCAAGCTATTCCGCCGGCTAGGTCCGCTCTCAGTCTTCCTCCCCGTCGTCCTCTCGTCTGGCGAGCGCGACTACCGCGTCACCAAGATGGGCTGCGTCGTCATGCTCTCGACCTTCGGGGCGATGGGCCTGACGTACATTGCCATCTTCTCGAGCTACCGCTTCGACTGGGGTCCCGAGAAGATCGGCTTCTTCCTCACCCTGATTGGCGGCACGCGCGCCGTGATGCTGATGCTGGGAATCCCGGCCATCAACCGCTTCCTGGACCGTGTGGTGCCGCGTACAGCCCCCGTCGCCGCATCGACGTGCGATCAAGGCGGCGACGAAGACGAGGACGGAGAGCAAGACGAGGAGAGGTCGACCTCGATCGATGCCGTGCCGCGGCGGGCTCGCATCGACATCTACGTGGCGATGGTGTCGTTCCTGATCGAATGGATCGGCTACCTGGTCATCATCCTGGGCGCCAGCACCACGTCGCTGACGTTGATGTCGTGCGGCACCATCTTCCTCAGCCTCGGCGCGGGCGCCAATCCGGCGCTCAACAGCGCGGCCATTTCGATCGTCACGTCACGGCGTCGGCACCTTCGTCCGGACGATGGCGACGGCGATGGCAGCGCCGCCGTGCTGGCGCGGCAGACGAGCGACGGCTGGATCTCGGCGTCGTCGATTGTCGATTCGTTCTTCAAGTTCTTTTCGCCACTGTGCTACACGGCCGTCTACTCGCTCACCATCGACTCGAGGGCGCCCGCGGCGTGCTTCTTTATCCCCATTGTCTCGTTTGGCGCCGCCACGGCGCTCTTGTGGTCGATCCTCTAGATGCCGGGCTGCGTGCAGTGAAGTACGTACATACCCCTTCAGCGCGCCCTGACCACCTGTTTCCAGTACCGTTGCCCCGCCCGATACCACCGCCTCAATGCCACCCTGCATCGTATCTTGCTGTCTCCAAGCTCGGCCACCTGTGCGTTCGTCATTGTCAGACAGCCGACGGGACTGCGAAGAAACTAGTGTCTAGCGTAGGTTGTGCAGCAATCGGGCGTCGGACAGAGGTCGAACGCGCGCGCGGGTAAGCAGGCGCGTGAGCGTCTCGATTCTCGATTCTCGATTCTCGACTCTGGCCGCTCGGCCGTGCGGGCTCAATCGACACTCGACACACGACCCTCGACGACGATGATGGGGTAAACGATGAAAAAGGCGCCAACCTTTTAATCTTTCTTTCTTTCCCTTCCGAGTCCTTTGGACCCTAGCTACCGACTGAGTGCCAAGGGGAGCGGGGGCCGGGGGAGATGTAGCAACGAGAGATGACGATGGGGACCGAATCACTAACGAAGGTTGTACAGTTGTGTCTGGGGAGGGAGGTATGCAGAGGACGACGACGACAGAGGAAGGAATGTGTGTGTGTTTGTGTGTGTGCGCGCGGGGGATGCGTGTTGCAGAGAAGGTCGGGAACCGGAATGAGAATGCGAGGATCTACTTATACTAAGACGATGAAGAGGGATTGGAAAGGGATGGAGGGAAAGGCTGAGGCGGTGGAATAGGTGATCTGCAAGGACGGCCATCCCAATGCCGATGGCGCTCAGAAGCTGCTCGATCACTGTCGTGAACGGAAGGGGCGGGCTAGGTGGGGACGAGGGCGTTGGACATCGCCGCACCAGGCGACGACGCAACGACCCAGGTGGCCACGAGCCTTGCCATCCGCGACGAGGGTGATGAGGGGAGCTCGCGAGGCCGATCGACAGAGGAATGTGATGCCGGATCCCGTATTCCGATGCGCCCGTGCCCGAGGGGAAGGGGGTGGCTGATTACGATGGCGGAGGGATGGTGGGCTGAGACGAGCTTGATTAAGATGCAATGCCGAGTGGGTTTGGGAGACAGGGCCGGGTCCGACGACCTAGTAGGCCGCCGAGGACTGGTGTCCGAGCATCCGCGCGAGGAGGTTGGAGCTGCTCCGCACGCTGCGCATCGAGTGAGATGCGGGCAGGTGCGCCTGGCTCGGCTGCTGCGTCTCGTGCCCTTTCCGGAGCCCTGCCGAGAGGGCGGTGGAGATGTACCGCCCCATGGTGGACCCGGCCTTGCCGTGCTCGAGGTCGTCGGCGACAATGACGGGCTGCGACCGGCTGACGGGCATCGAGACGGTGTGCTGCTGCATCCGCGCATCGAGCCCCTCTTGCTCCAGGTAGTCGTCCTCGTAGTCGTCGTAGTCCTCGGCCGACGACGACGACGAGCCGTTGTCGTCGGTCAGCTCGGCCTCGGAAGACCCGCTGCTGAGGCTCGACTCTGCCGAGTCCTGTCGCATCATCATCGCCGAGTTGCGCGACGCAGCGGCGTGGGCGGATGCTGCGGACGCGACGTGGTACGACGAAGGCTCGAGAGGTGAAGACGACGACGCCGCCGAGGCGGGCGAGGGGGGTGCCTGGCTGTGGCGAGACGACGATGACCGTGCTTGGCTGCCGCGGACGTCGTCCTGCTGGTTCCAGCAAGGCACTTCGGACGCGGGCAGGTTGCGGAGGGCCACGCGGCGCTCGCTGGCACGCGCGTACCGCTCACGCTCACGGCCGCACTCGAGACCGCGGAGGTGCATCTCGCGCTGGCCGGCCTCGGCACGGGTCTCGAAGCGGCGGAAGAAGGGCTCGAAGTGGACCATGAGCTCGTCCTCCTCCATGCGGAGGTCGTAGTCGAGCAGGTAGAGGAGCTGTTTCTCCATGAGGTTGACCTCGGCCTGGGAGAAGAGGGCGGCGTACTTGGTCCAGTGCTTGTTCTTGGGCGAAGAGTCGTTGAGGTACTTTGCGGCGACGATGAGGGCGGCGAGGAAGACGCGGTGGCGCGTGCAGTGCATGCCCTTGGCGACGCGCGGCAGGCGCGTCTTGAGCCTCTCGAGGTAGACGAGGGTGCAGAGGAGGGTGGGCACCTGGACATTGCTCTTCTCGACCAGGATGGCGATGAAGGTCTCGAGGCTGGGGAGCCCGTTGATCTCGAGCTTGCCTGCCGGATCCGCCTCGGCGGACGCAAGCGACCTTGTCGGCGTGGCCGGCGGCGTGTCGACCGAAGGCGGAGGCCCGCACTGGATGACGTGGGCGGCCTGCTGTGCGAGGTAGACGACCATGTCGCGGCTGACGGCGCACTTCATCAGGTCGGTAAGGGCCGGATTGTGGACCAGCTTGGGGATGAGGCTCGCGGGGTGGCGGCGGAGCTGGCTGCTGCTTAGCGTCGAAGACGACGAGGATGCATAGGATGTTGTAGACATGGTGGCTGCTGTAGGTGTGGATAGAGGGCTGCTTTGGGTCGATCAGGTGCCAAGTCTAGACCAGTAAAGGTGACTGTGGGCGGAGGGTGGTGGTGTTCGTGGTGATGGTGGTGGTGGTGGTGGTGGTGGTGGCAGCAGGGCAGGGCAGGTGGTGATGTTGATTATAGAGGCGGGGACAGGGAAGATGAGAGTGTAGAGAGGAGGAAGGCGAGGGGGAGGGGATGAGGGGGAGGTCGGAGTCAGTCACGGGAGGAATCGATGGAGCGGGGACCCGGAAGTGTGGAGCGGCGTGGCGGCGTCCCTTATGTATGGACGGCGAGTGCGTACCTTTGGGCGGGGGGAGCGACGTCGGAAGCGGATGCCGGTGTCTCTGCGGGATGGGTTGGTGTTGGTGGATCTGCTTGGTCGCCGGGACAAGAGAGAGAGGTGGCGGGAGAGTGGGAGGACGAGGAGGAGGATAGAGCTCGCGGGTGTGTGCCGAAAGGCGAGGTGCGTGCCGCAAGACGGAGGAGCCGAAAGCAAGGAAGGAAGGAGGGAGGAGGCGCTTTCGATGGTGGTGGCGACCGAGGGAGTGATGAGGGAGGGTCAGCGTCCAACAGCAAGGGGCTTGGAAGACGATGGAGGGGGACGTCGATGCGAGGGGGGGTTCAGAGGCAGGTGGTGGTCTGATCGGCGGCAGGCGTCAGGGTGATATATGGGGGGATGCCAAGGGCAGGGGCGAAGGGGAGGCGCCGATGGATGGTGTGTGAGCGATCCAAGGCGAGGGGGTGACGAGGGCAACGAAGTGTGGCAGGGTGCAGGCAAGGCAAGCAGGCAGGCAAGCAGGCAGGCAAGCAGGCAGAGAGGGAATGTCAGCTGTCGGTCGGTGGATGGCGAGATGCCAAGCAGAGGTTGCCGAGCCACAGCAGCCAGCCTGCCCCGTAAGGCCGGCGCAGGTGGATGTCGGTGCGTGGGTCGAGTTGCGTGCATGGCAGGCTAGGACTCCGAGCATGGCCAGCCCCCGCCCTGGCTTCATGCGATGGCGGGCGCACCCAAGAGGCAGGCCAGGGCACGCCAGGGTCGGTGAGGCATGAGACGTGCGCCGCCTGCTGGCTTGCTTGGGTACCCGCTGCCGCCCCGTCGAAGCAGCGACAGCAACGGCCGGGCGATTGGGTGCCATGCATCCAAGACCGGGTGCTGCCCGTACTGTGCGTGGGCAGCCAAGCAAGGCCCGGTGGCCAGCCTAGCGACCAAGGGACGCGGGCACAAGCAAGGGCCAGGCCCGGGTCCTGGATCGCGAGGCTGCCTCGGACTCTGCCGAGCTGCCCTGCAGGCGCTTCGGTGCGTGCCAGGCCAGGCCAGCCCCACCAGGCAAAACCAAAACAGGCAGGCGGGCAACCTTCCTACTGTAGCCTGCCTAGCCTGGCTCCAGCGCGCGGGAGCGGGGCCCGCACCGAACACATGCACGCGTCTTGCATCTGACAGGTCCGAGGTGCAGCCTGCTTTTCCCAGGGACGCGGCAGCTCCCAGGCGGTTGGACCGGGGCGCTCGATTCTGCCCGGGGCGGGCCTATCCTCACGCCGTCCCACTGCCCAGCGGAGCCGCCGCGACCAGCCCTTACCGACCCTTCATCATCCCCTTCCAGGGTGAAGATCGGGCAGGGGTGGAGGGAAGATCGAGGAACGCCAGCTGCGAACCAGGGGTGCCTGCAAAGTGCAGCCTGGCCTAGAGCAAGGCATGGCAAGGCAAGGCAACGAAGGGCATACGCAAGGAAGGGCAAGGCAAGGAAGAGTAAAGCAAGGCCCGGGAATGCTGCCGGCGTGGCTTCGAGAGCAAGCAAGCAAGCAGGCCGCACCGCGGTTGCTTTGCCCGCCGCCTTCCCGCTGGCCGGTTGCGCTGCAACCCAAGATCCGAACGCCCTCCGAGGAATTTTCGATTCCCCTGCCTGCCGGCCTCGACCCTCTTGCGCTGCGCTCGCCGGCGGCGCGTGCCTGCCCCTCGGCCGCTGGCTGCGCCCTGCTCCGAGACCTTGTCCGAGGCCATCAATCGAGCAGGCGCAGCAACAAGCTCCGAGCCCGAACGCCCGTTCGACCCTGGAAGATGGTCTTCCTCGCTCGAGCAGGCGACGAGAAGAGGCTAGGACGTCGAGCGGACACCCAGCGCCGTCCCAGATCGAGCCAGGCCCGGCGGGCCCGGCCACCCGATCGAGGAGGCGCTTCGATTTTGGATTTTTGGAAAATCCGAAAAATCCACAGGCGTCCCCGTTTCGGGCAGGCCGGTCGCGGCGGGGCAGCGGGCGGGCGACCCGAAGTGAGGCGGTGCGTGCCAGCTTTCTCACGGCGCGCATCCCTAGCTCTGGCACGCAGCCCTGCCTCTGAGCTGGTCGACGAGCCGAGCAGAGCAAAAAGCCACGCACGCACGCTCGCTCGCTCCGCCCCTCGCCTCCACCAGCTCGCCCGCCGGCCATCACGCCCAGCCTGCGCTGCGAGCGCGCTTCAGGCAAGGGGTCGCCAACCGCCCCTTCCGTCGAAGCCAGCAGGCAGGCAGCCAGGCAGGCAGGAAGAGCAAGCATGCGCTGCTATGCGGCGTGACCGTATCATAGCAGCAGCACGCCCGCTTGCCCGCCCCGTTCTTCGGGACGAAGATGCGACGACGGCAAGCATCGCAACCACCCGTCCAAAGACGCGACCAGCAAGCCTGCGGTGAGGAAAGCGCGCTCCTCGTCTGTCGCCCTCGATCGAACAAACGTCGCGGCGTGCCAGACGCGGGCATGCTGCGATGGGCGGAGCCTTCCAAGCCGAGGCGGGAAAGCCGGCCACCGGCCCGCAGACGGCAGCGGATGAACCGACAACCCGGGTGGCCGTCTTCGATCCGTGGCACGGCGGCGGCGCAGCGAAATCACCGCCGAATTCGAATTCGCGACTCGAGGCTTGCTTGCCTGCCTGCCTGCCTGCCTGCCTGCCTGCCTGCCTGCCTGCCTGCTTGCCTGCCCGGGCCCCCGCTGTGCATCGCGTGGCCCGAGCGACGGGCCTGGTACCAGTACGACGTGGCCGAGGGCTGGTCGGCGTGCTTGCGAACCAAACGACCCGCTCGGTGGCGCTCAGCCCGCCGTCCGCTGCGCCCTCGAGGCTCGACCATGCCCACGCCCGATCGGCGTCGGCCGGCGCGATCCGCCCTCGATCCATTGCCGCCTCGTCGGACGCCGCCGCGGCTACGCCAATCGATGGTCGGGCATATGGACAAGAACCTGTTCGCAGCGGATGAACGTCGTGGCAGCACGTCCCGGGAACGGGGACGTGTCCAGCCCACCAGACGACTGCCGCTCATTGACCCCTTCCGCCGCTCCGAATCTGAGCTGGCCAGATGCCGGGACAGCGGACGAGGCCGCAAATAAAGTAGCAGCGCGAGGTTATCACAACCGCTGCCGGACATCGACAACTGGCAGCGAAAGCGCGGCGCGAGGCGAGGCCGGTCGAAGCCGGTCGGTGGAACGCCGGCCAGCCGGGGATATCGAGAACACGACACGGCAAGCAGAATGCGAAACGAGAACCACGACCGAGGACTACGGGCAAGAGAGCGAACGACGACGACGACGACTGTACTCACCTTGCTTGGTCGGCGAATTCGACGGCCGGCTGGGTCCGTTGGTCGAGGCGGGCGAGCGATCGGCGAAGCTGATGTCTCGCTCCGAGGAAGGACTGGACGGCTTAGACGGTAGGCAGCCACCAACGAGCTGGTTGGACGGCGGAGGCGCTAGACGAAGCGGCTATGGCGTTGGGAGCTGGGGCGGCCTGCTTGCTTCGTGCGTGCGTGGTGTACGTGGTCGGCGGCGGCGCAAGGCGGGTGAGGAGAAATTAAGGTTTGGGCCGGGTTGCGCGTTCCTGCTGCGGGTCTGCAGCCGGTTGCCAAAGTTTCGTTGCCCTGAGCGGAATTTCCTGCAGCCAGGCAGAGTTCGAGGCGCTGGGCGGCGGGCGAGCGAGGTCGAAGAGGCAGGTGGAGGTCTTGTACTGCGTTGCGCGGAGACTGGGACGCCACAGGTCTAGAAGCTGATCCAGGCGTTCCTCTCGGTGATGGAGGAGGGTGTGGGAGGTGTCGATGGACGGCGACAGAGAAGGGTTGGGGAGGAGCGGGAACTGTGGCGTTGGGCGGGCGGCGTTTGCCGGGGAGGGGGACCGTCGGAGCTTCGGGACCGGAATTGGCAGGGTGCGGGGAAGGGTCTGAAACTCAGACGCTCGAGGCGTGGAGAGGGCGGGAGGTTTTCGCGTCGTCGCTGTGCTTTGCGTCGGTGGGCGAGGTGGTCCTGTGTTGGTGATTCGAGTCGGGTCGGGTCGGGTCGGTCTCTGCTGATGGTTCTCTACCGCAGGTCGGTAGCCGGTAGTCGGTAATCGGAGTACGGAAAGGGGATGGATCGAAGAAAGTGTAGGTTGGCGCCTTTGGATCGAAGTAGAAGTGAGAAGAAGTGAAAGCAGGTGGAAGAAGAGCAGCGGTGATCCGTGCCAGCCGGATGTGAAAGAAGGGGAGAGGCGGGGAAGAGGGTTGGTAGACTGCGGAGGCAAAGGCGCGGTGGCGAGAGAGAGATGCGCCGGGCGTGTCAGCGAGCCTGGTCCATAACCATCTCCTGACAGGTATGCCTGCCACCCTCCCGCACCACCCCTCGCAGCGCAGCCATATGCCAGGACCGCCACGCCACTTACAGGGACAATCACAAGCCGGCTGTGACTGGGAAGAAAGGAAGAAGAAAGAGGTTATGCCGTTCGAGGGTTGAGCAAGCAAGTGCAGGGGGCTGTTGGTCGACCTCGGTGGCGAAGAGAGCAAGGGGGCTTGGTGGCAAGCAAAGCAAGCAAGCAAGGGTCACGAAACAGGAATTTGAAGGTGGTGGCAACTTGTCAAGGCCATTGACGCTCCGTTGTCATATTCATACCGCCGCCGAGGAAGCAAGGAGGCCAGCGGCGAGGGCGTGGTGCGAAGTAGACAGGGCCACCTTCGCTGGAGGCTCGTCGACTCATCAGTCGTTGGCAGCA